TTTAGAGGGTTAATATGTTGTGGGGTTGTTAACCAATGTCATAAAACAACATGTGTACTACTGTTTCATGAGAAACTATTTGTTCTGTAATCCTTCACCTGAAGTACCATAAAATAAAAAAATAAAAAATAAGAAATGTATTGTCATAGAGAAGTTTCAATTTTAAAGCTCTCTTGAATATTTTTAAATATTGTTTGACAGTATTTTTACAAATAATGTAATTGGATAAAATAAATAATATCATGAAGTTAAAGTCTTACCATTTAAACTCTGTCCTATTCGCATAGTACCAGAGGCAAAATTCGTAATTGAACCATGCAGAGTTCTTGCATCAAAAGCTGTATTATCCTTCTCCAAACCATTGATAAAGAAACTGATTTTTGTCCAATCCACCTGTAAGAAATTATCACTATTAGTATTTTAATTGCACAGACTTTCATTTTATAATGACCACATCTGAGCTGTCTTTCTTAATCTCCTACGTCTCCACTTTCTTCAGTTGGGAAGAATGGAAACAGTTTATTTTAATGGACCAATGATGCGTCTGTGTTTTTCTAAATCTAAATATTTTGGCTTTGTGCTTTGTTGGTGTTATGGATTCAATTGTATCTCCCAAAAATACGTGTTGGAATCCTAATTCCTATGCCTATTGATGCAATCCCATTTGGGAGTATGGTTTTGTTATGTTAATATTATTTTTTAGAAAGAAAAAGATTAGGCACAGAGGAAAAAAAAATCCATTGCCATCGAGTTGATTCGACTCATAACAACCCTATAGGACAGAGTAGAACTGCCCCATAGAGTTTCCAAGGAGGGGCTGGTGGATTCGAACTGCTGACTTTTTGGTTAGCAGCCAAGCTCTTAACCACTGTGCCAAGCACAAACAGAGGGGAAGATGCATTCCACATGGAGATCGCCAGGAATCCCGGAAGACCGAGTCCACAGAAACTGAAGGGAACAACCCACCCAGACAACAGAAAGGGAGCCTTCTCCTAGAGCTGGTGCCCTGAATTTGGCCTTTTAGCCTTCTATACTGTGAAAAAATAAATTTGTTCTTTAAACCCACCTGCTTGTGGTATTTCTGTTATAGCAGCACTAAGCAACTAAGACAGATGGTATCTACCAGAGCATTCACCAAAAAACAAAAAAAAAACCAAACCCATTGCCATCGAGTCAATTACAACTCATAGTGACCCTGTAGGACAGAGTAGAACTGTCCCACAGGGCTTCCAAGGAGCCGGTGGTGGATTCCAACTGCCAACCTTTTGATTAGCAGCCATAGCTCTTAACCACTGCACCACCAGGGCTCCAGGTATTCACAGATATACATAATTGTTTGTCTCATATACTTCACAGCTTAGACTGCTGTAAGAAGATAAATTTTTTGAGGTTATACCATTTTTAGATATTCATTAAATTTGTTATAGCCAGATTGGGAAATAAATCAGAAAGAAATACAACAGGAGGAAACATGCAAAACCAGATATACTGAAAATGTATTATAAAAAAAAATTGCCATCAAGTCGATTCCTACTCATAGCAACACTATGCATGTGGATATAATTCAATTTAAGTTTCTAGTACAAGATACTTCTTGTAATATTTACTTTTTGAGATGTTGGTATCCAGTTAGTTTTCAGCTATACTTCCACAATGTAGAATAACTAAGAAATTTGCCAAGTCTAGCTCAGGATAATCAATCAAGCAACCTAACAACAATCTACACGAAGGGTCAGCAAATATTTTCTGCAAATGGCCAGAGAATAAATATCTTTTCTTTACGGGCCAAACAGTTTGACTTTACAGGCAGAATGGTCTCTGTCAGCTACTGGGACTCCACTGTTGTGCTGCAAACACAGTCATACAGAATACTGAAACAAACAGGTATGCCTATGTTCCAATAAAACTTTATTTAAAAAACAGGCAGCCAACCAGATCTGGCCTCTGGGTCTTATTTTGAAGACCCATGGATTGCACGATAAAAAGTTATCAAATTTTTGTTTGCATGATAAAAAAGCCAAACCCATTGCTGTCGAGTTGATTCCAACTCAAAGCGATCCTATAGGACGGAGTAGAAGTGCCCCACAGGGTTTCCAAGGAGCGCTTGGTGTATTCAAACTACCAACTTTGGGTTAGCAGCCATAGGTCTTACCCACTGTGCCACCAGGGTTTCCGTTTGCATGATATGATCCCTAAAGAGCTGGTTTAATTCAATCAAACTTTTTTGTAGAGTACTTCACTCGTGGTATATAAGCAGAATCTTCAAAGACTGCGTATATTTCTGAATCAACTGCTCAGCTACTTGGACATCACCTTCAGTCTCTAGAAAGAGTCCCTCTGCTCAAGCGCTTTTAAATGATTTAAAAGGAATGACTGCCGCCCTAATTAGTAAAGGTGCTGACCTAGCAGATAAAAGGCTAAGTAGAGAAAGAGTCTTACAGTTGAAAGGTTTAATGTTCAACATTTTATTTTAAAAAATACCAAATCATAGCATTCAAAATGCTATTTCTATTTAAGTCCTTTCAATCATTGGTAAAGATCAGTATCTATTCTCAGATATCTTTAAGTCATTATGTGAATGATTGTCTTAAGAATACCTTTCAACAAGCCCCCTCCCCGCCACGAAAAAACTCTGGAAGTTAACATCATAATTACTTGGTAATACTAATTCTTCAAAAAGTTACCAATGTGGCTTTTCTCCATTCTAATCAACCTGTTTTCATTTTAACCCTGTTCTTTCTTAAATCCACTGGCCCAGAGTTGCATTTTATTTAATTTTGAAACATAAAATCACGCACCAACTCCTCATGGACTCAGATATATACCTCTCTGCTGGGTGGTAGGGCTACATTTGTTTCTTTTTCTTTTTTTGCATCACATTTTTTACAGCCTGTTACTGTCATTTGGTGGTTGACTGTTATCATTATAAAAGATACAGGCTTTTCTACTTTGTTATTTGTAGCGTTATCTCATGTTTTACAACATCTCTGCGCAACATGCAGGCGCATGAAATACAACTAGGGGAAAGTTCTTGGTGGTATTAATGCATAAAAAAGAATGTGGCTCCATCTCTACTGTCTTTACCCAGCCCAAACCTGATGAACAGCCAATTTTCCTTTATCACATTAGCACAGCCATGAGGGAAACACATTTGTTCTAGTCAGCTACACTAAAGATACTATTACCAATCTAACATATACATGTTTTATATCAGCAGTATTCTCAGAGCATGGGAGAACCAACAATATATTAACACTAGCATGACAGTTTATTTAAGAAAAGAAAATTGTCTCTGTAAAGGGACAGAAGTTAGAAATGTATGGCTAAAGCTCAGTGTCACGGGTCTAATAAAGGTAATAATTCTTCGGTTTTCTTTATAGCAGGTAACACTCCTGTGACAGTTCTGTCATATCATTCAAATAAAAATGTTGTCTTTTACAAGTTTAAGTGCACCTTTATTTTGAGTCAGATGGAAAGCATGCTTTTGATTTTCTGTCTTCACTGTATTATATCTGTAGTCAAGAGTTCAAGACCTTTTTTCTTTTTATCAACTCATCGCATATTTGCTTAGTAGAGGGATTCTGTGTCACTTGCAGTGAATTCCAAACGGATGTTTTCACTTTGTTGGTACTTAAAAAATGATTAACGATGATCCCAAGCCACTCTGTTCCACTGTCCCCTCCCCTACCAACCACCTTTCTATAAATAAGATTAAATCTTCTTGGTTTCCTATACCATGTATTCCAAGATTCTCTAAACTATTTTACAATTCTGATCTGGGGCCCCATCACACTGAAATGGTGAAGACTCAGGTGGCTTTCTGCAATAGCTCATTCTGATGACCCCCTTGCCAGTCATATAGGGGGACAGGAATATATACAATGGAATTTCTGATCTGTGAAAAGAACGCCTTCTGCTAAAGTAAACTTCCCACCGACTCATTCTCAATCCCTATGAGAATTACAGGCACTTGAGCATGTTTATTGGTGTAGCTTGAATGAATGAACTGGTGGTAGCAATTGTAGAAAAGCCTTGAAATTCCTTCATCCAAGGATATATTGGAAAGAAGATACAGGGGAGAAGGTCATCTTCAAGCCGTCATTCTCTTAGAGTTTCATATTTCATTCTAACCTTTTTTACTATTATTATTTTTCATCAATTCCGTGTCTCTGTGATAGGTTGTACTGACCCTTTTGAAGTGAAAGAGTGTGTTAGATTAAAAAAGAAGAAGAATTCCTGACATCCTCTCATGCTTGATCTGAAAACCAGTTGCCATCAAGTAGATTCCAACTCATGGTGATCCCATGTGCGTCAGAGTAGAACTGTGTTTCATAGGGTTTTCAATGGCGGAGTTTTTTGGAAGTAGATTGCCGGGTCTTTCTTCTGAGGTGTTTCTGGGTGGACTTGAACCTCCAAACTTTAGTTAGCAGCAGAGCACAATAACAATTCACATCTTCCAAGGTCTCACTTGCCTGATTAGTTGGAAGCATAATTTATTAAAAGTCCAGAATGTCACACATTAACTGAGTAGCTGTCAAGGAGAAAATATAATCAAGTCCACCTAGACAGAGAGTAGTAATTGCTCACAATCACCTGCTCTGTTGAAATGTCAAATCTGTTGTTATTCTACTGGTGCTGGCTACCAATAACCAAAAGAAAATGCTGATTCAGGCTAGAAGTTAAATAGGCAGAATAAACTGTGCTGACTTCCTCACTAGAGAAATGGTTTTCCCACTACCTATATCTTTCTAGTTTAAATTTAATTTAATAAAGCATCTACCTAGTACTCACAGTGACCCTATGAGTTACACCAAGAAAAGAAAGTCATGATCTTTTCTCTCAAAGAATAGTATGCATGAAAACTACAGAATAACAGTTCTAATGCACTAGATAGTGTTAGCATAACTATAAATGATAACAGGTGTTTCTAAATTAAGTACTGGATCTTAATGCAGTTAATGAACTGATATCTTTTTCAAGGAGTTTCTCTGAGAAGTTGTGTATATATATATATATATATATATATATATAAAATTATGTGTGTTGTAGGCCATATTTTTAGACATTCTCTGTGAGATTTCTTCCCTGTAACCAACTTAGAAGTCTCACAAGAATAGCAGCTTCAGTTAAAAATGGGCCTCATTTTTAAGCAAAGGCACTTTTAACTATTTTGAATAACAAGTTTTTAAATAAATTTAACGTAAGAGATCTGGGGATATTTTTTAAATTCAAATTCATCCTCAAAATAAACAGTGGTTCCACAGCTACCAAGACCTCCACCGGACTGAGTCCAGTACAGCTAGATGGTGCCCGGCTACCACCGCTGACTGCTCTGACCAGGATCACAACAGAGGGTTCG